GTACGACCCGTACGGCCGGCTGGGGGCCCGTACATACAACCGGATGGGCCGTACGGACGCCCCGTATTCGTACAGTGTGTTGCACTGGGCACGGGGTCTTCTGCTGCACCCATCTAGCTGAGCCTGTCCCCTGTGAAAAGAGAACTCAAAGAAAAAGACCAAGAAGTTGCAAAAACCAATCAGAAAAGGGACGCCCTCCACCGGGCCTCCAGACCATCTCTCCAACTAGTAAATTTTGTACCTCTATAGGCAATCCCAAATGCAAACAAGAACTCCTAAATGCTAAGGCTAACGCAAGCACTTCTTAGCGGCCTTTAGCTCGGGTAATAGCTCCCGAATTTTATACCAGGGAGCGCTCGGGTATGCGGAGGACGGTTACTCATCTGCGCTCACTATGTTAGCGTGGCGTGCTGTTCTTGATCCCTCCTCCTCGCCGCGTTGGCAGGCAAGGGCATGACCTGGATGCCGTTTCACACCCTCATACGGAAACCGATCAGGGCTCTTGCCCCTGCTCTACTATACGGAGTGGGATATGGAGCAGTGGATCCTCCCCCCTTGTGGAGGAGGAGGTGTGGTTGTCGTGCGGTTGGGCTGAGTGTTCCACGATAAAGAAGGTATCCGTCTTCCTTGCCGAGTCATCATGCAAATCTTATGTGGAAGAATAAACAAATAATTAAATTTAAAAAAAAATATAGATAAAAAATCAGATTGCATATCCTTCTATTTGTAGCGGATGCCCCAAAGGACAAAAGATTAAGGTGGGGCAAAAGATTGCAGTTTCACCGGGTCTCACTCAGTTGGTAAAGCCATAACTGCTGAAATGCAGACCCGAGTTTGAAACCAGTTGAATGACATATAACAAGTCTGCTCGACGATTTTTTATTATTATTATTTTTTTTGTCGACGATGATGTCTCAAGGCAGGATAATTGGTAGAAAGCGCCCACACCAAAACCTTTTCGGTTTTGGGCCCCCAAAGTTCAGCCGTTCGTTACTACTGGGCCAGGCCCAATGTTTTCCATTTGGGGTACTACAGGCCCACAAATCTCTCCAAGGGCCCTACCGGATCATGAATCCGGCACATAAACAGCGCGAGATTTATTTTGATTTAAGGATAGAATGAGGCCCACATACCGTATTTTGAAAAAGAAGGGCTATAATCTGGAGCAAAAACAGCACGAAATTCATGAACCGGTAAAAACAGGCCAAGGGAGCCCAGGCTGAAGACATTTGGGCTGGTAGTACCAAATGGCTGAACTTTGGGACCCCAAAACAGAAAAGGTTTTGGTGTGGGCTCTTTCTACCAATTATCTTTTTTTTTTTCCTTTTTTTTTTTTCCTTTTTTTAATAAAGGGCGACGGCCTTGAGATATTATCATTGAGCTGACCGGGCCCAAGCAATTCATTAACATTAGTAGTAGTTGGTTTCACTTGTCAAGTTCCATCATAGGGATTTGAACACAGGTCTGTATTTCAACAGTTCATGGGTGTACCCACTGAGCTAGGCTCTTGGGTTTTCTACCAATTATCCCTTTCAAGGCTGTGGCCCTTTTATTAAAAAACAAAACAAAACAAAACAAAACAAAAAAAAGTATGGGGTTTCCCAGCCCAGAGGCGATCGACCCTATGACCTCTCCGCAAGCAGCTAGAATTCGGGAAAAGTTATAGAACCTTCCCGCAACGAAACCTTTGTACTTATTTGCCCCCAAAAGGAGCAAAAAATGACAAAGGCAAAAACATGACTTTTCGCGGGTCATTTTTGCACCCTTGAAAACACTTTCCCGCCATTTTTGCCAGCGGGCGTTACCGGGCCAGCCAGGGTGGGGGGAAACGAGTACAAAGGTTTCGTGGCGTGGAGGTTTTTTACCTTTTCCCGCTCGAATCTGATGATAGCCAGTCCCACTTCTCATTCTGCGCGTCCTTACGCCATAGCATGAGCAGAAAGGTCAAGGGCAGACGTGATTCAAGGGAGCGAGTCTCGACTATCGCACTCGCATTGAGAGCGCGGTATGTCCTGCCCTCGAGATCTCCGCTGCCTTCTCTCTCCTACTAGTAGCGTCTTCTCTTACGAGGACTGACGTCATCTCTCTCTCTCTCTCTCTCTCTCTCTCTCTCTCTCTCTCTCTCTCTCTCTCTCTCTCTCTCTCTCTCTGTGTGTGTGTGTGTGTATGTGTGTGCGTGTGTGTGTGTGTGTGTGTGTGCGTGCACATTTTATTGTCCATCTGAGTGAGTATGTTGCGTGTGTGACCTTGCCTCGCTGTTTCCCCTGCCCTTTGACCGAGCATCTTCTCCCGTGACAGCCATCGCCGACGCCTTGTCATAGACGAGAAGGGGATACGTAAGTAGAGTAGGTAGTTCGCTGACAAGATTCGCGGAGCCACAACTGACAACGCTGCTTTTCAGATCCGCTCGAGGGTCAATCTGGCCTGCTTTCTCAGTCCTGACGGCGGCGCTTCTCTACACACACGCGCCCTTCTTTTTCTTTTCCTTCTTCTTTACTTTGATTAGAACGGCCACGGCCTGGAGACTCTTTCCGCACCACGGCGCAGCGCATCCACTGCCCGCTTCCTGCTGTCCGTTGGTTCTGTTTGTGAAAGCAGTTCATTCAGACATCCTCCGAAGTCCACGTCTCGCTTCTGCATCGTCCACTTACCTACGCTTCTTTGGCTCTCCAGTGGTGAATCGTTATCCTCCATCCTCCTTCCGGTCCTCTGGCAACGAGTTACGGGGCTGCCTGTCTCGCGCTCGATGACGATGCTGATGGTGATGATAGTATTGATGATGATGATGGGCATGCCCTTGCGGGTGATAGTGGCAGTCGGAGCAGATATGAGCTGGACAGCGCAGCAGAGAGGAGGGAAGTCCGTTGCGGGAGCGGAGAGTGCGTATGATGAGGAGGTTGGCGATATGCAAGGAGCAAGAGAGCTCCAGGCAGAGTCATCAGAGCTCCAGGCAGAGTCATCAAGTCCTTTCTCACCGACCGGGGCTACCTCAGCCTATCCATCGGCATCGCCAGCATCATCAACAGAATCCTCTCCATCGTCCTCGTTGCCAGAACCTTCGACAAAATCGTCATCATCATCATCATCACCATCACCATCACCACCGGCGGTGCAATCAACCGGTGCATCTTCAGCAGCCGGAGAGTTGTCTTCGGCAGGACGTGATGGGAGTGGAACAGGCGTCAGTGGTAGATTGGCCGACACGCTGTCAAGTCCTTCACCGAGAATTCTCCAAACGCCACCAAGGGGAGGTGTCAGCGTCGGCGTGCTGGCTGGTAGCCTTGTGGCAGCTTGTCTGGTCGCCTCCGTTCTTGGTGGCGCTTTAGTCCTCCTCGTTTCTCGATCCAGAAAATCGGCGAAGGCGGAATCTGGGGGTATGACTGCAACGTTTTCTGCTCTTGAACACCCGGTCGAACGGTGTTCTGCTCTCGAACGTCCGATTTGAAGCTACATAGATCTGTCCTTACGTTCGTCTTCTTTCTTTTTCTTGTGTGTGCGGTTTTTGGCTGCAATCTTCGAGATCGAGCAGGCTGTCCCTCCCCTCCGCCATTGGTCACCCCAGCGGCGTTTCTTGTCTTGTCCTTGGCTGCTGCCGAGAGGCTTCTTTCGTCTGTTTGCCGGGGAGCGACCGCTGTACGTCCCTCCTTACCCGCTTTTGGTGTTAATTCAACTCTATTGACAGGTACAGAACTTTGCCTGCTTTCCTTATTTTCTTTTTTCTGGGTCTCTCGCAGGCGGTGCCGGCTGAGGGTACATTCATTCTGGCGAGGGATAATTTACCGGTAAGAGGACAGTGGAATCGATTTCACAATTAAATCCTTTTATCTGATCTCTGTTGCGTCGTTACATTGATGAGTAAACATTAAACCTTTTCCGTTATCATTATGGTGTCTGTTTTGTTTTTTTCACTTTTCGCGATTTGATTCGACCTCTGGGTGTTGGTTGCTCCTCGAACAGTCGGGAAGGGCATTGGGAGAATCATGCGAGAAGGGAGGGGATTCGAACTCTCAATCTTCCTCTTTTTTGTATGTAATGTGCTTATCATCAATTGCTCATGTGACTCGACGTGGTATGATGGGGATTTGGATGGTGTTAGGATTAGGGTTGTGCAGTGGAGGCCAGTAGAGGTTACACGGAGATCTTTTATCGTGTGTTTTTTTTTGCTTGTGTTTTTTTTTTTTTTTTTTCCCCACCTTTTTGCCGTGCTATTTTGCTTCGAAGCTGTGGAAGACAAACAGTTGCTTACAGCCGTGCATCCCTCTCAAATTGCTGCGACTTAGGTCCTCGAGCCACTGGTCAACGTCTCTCTGGACCGCTCTATGCACCAGATACATTCACACTGATCCAACGTTTCGAATGTCTTGGGTCCATTACCTCCTCCGGATACAGTAAGAATTTTGCGCAGAGGAGCGACGCCCTTAGTAGCTCTCGTCTTTCATTGACTTCAAATGTTCTTTCCTTCTTTTTTCCAACCAACAAATTTCGTTTCGGAAAGAAATCCCTTTTTTTTAAATTTTTTGACTGGACCCGTTGGAACAGAATTCTCGACTTTGCGTAGTCCTTCTAGGTAGACCAAGCACTGCCGCGCCACTCTTCATTCATTCGCTTCGGTTACCAAAAAGTAAAAAAAGAAAAAGAATAAGAAAACCAAAAAAAACATAAAAAGTTTAAAAAACATAAAAAGAAAAAAGCAATGAAAACAAGAAACGAACGGAACCAATCTGCACTCCAGGTGGCGCCGCGCTGCGCCTGCACGAGATGAGAGTACCTAGTTAGGTTACCAAGCACCTAACCCTAGCAATCCACAATAGCCAGGCGGAGCTCCGCAGAAAGGGGGCCGGAGGGGGCAGACGCCCTGGCTCAATCTGGCTACTACCGCCTTCCCCCGAGCACAGCGCGCCCTCATTCTGACTATGTATAACTCTGTATATCTGATCGCAAAGCTACCGTAAGTGCACATTCCTGATGAGGATTTATACTAGTCTGTTCAGCGTAAAAAGACCGCAGGTGCGCTATCAGCCTTGGATTGGCGTGAAGGATCACTGGCCAATTCCTCAACAGCAAACGCAGCCTAATCTCAGACGATGGAAGAGACCATTGACGCTTCAACACATTATCGCTTTGCACTTGCACGGTCCAGCTCTTCGCTTCCTGAAGACAAGGGGAGAGAGAACCCACTCTCCTCAGAGGTAGGCGGCTCCCTGATCCAGTGCGATTTGCCCTGGCCAAATGAACTGGGTTCCACACCGGATTACTTACTGCAGTGGGAAAAGGATTTTACCACTGCAGTAAGTAAGCCGGTGGTGGGAAAAGGATGTTCCCGCTGCAGGAAGACGTCAAATACAGAGCTTGAAAAAGTTTCGCGCGACCCTTTTAGTTTTTTGTCTCCCATCTGGAAACTGAAAGGGGGTGGAAGGCACGCTCTCCGGATTCGGAGCAACTTGGAGAGTCAGGCGAAGGTCCATCGGAAAAACCACAGTTGTGGCTGGGCACTCTCTCCACCATCAGGAGAGACTCTGAGTGCTTTTCACAGGGAGAAGGTACTTACTATAAAGCCTCCCCGCGACCAAAGCTTTCTATTGACACGGAAAGTCATTTGGGGGGCTGCGGCACCTTTTGCCCAGATTGGGGGGAAATGAATACAAAGGTTTCGTCGTGGGGAGGTTTTTTAACTTTTCCCCTTTTTCAAAGGTGATTCCCGCCAGCTACCCGAAGGTTTTTCAGGCCTTCAGGAGTGAAATCCGATATTTACTTCAGCGATAAAAAAAATTCTCCGAATTCAGAGAGAGGAGACTAATGCAGCGAGACCCGTGGTCTCAGGATTCCATGGTGTGGACTTGCGTAAAATTATGCTGCTGCTGCTGTTTGTATAACGAACTCTCATTGTGGCTTGGTAATTAGGCATCGTGCATTAGATGATTAAGGGTCTCGCTCCACTACTGTCCACTGTACAAAAACGGACAGTGGTACATCGCTCCACTTACTGTCCACTGTACATGTGCAAAATGGCTTGGACAGTTTGTAGAAACCCCGTCGAAAATCTACTGTCCGTGAATGTACAGCTCCCAGCCTGCAAAATTCGTTACGCGGAAAGTCCGTCAAGGGACTCGCCGTGAGGACCCGAATTTGGACAGTGCACCTAATCATGATTTCGTCTTGAAAAACGGAAAGCGTTCCTTCGACACTCGCTCCACTAATCGTCAAATTTGCAAAATGCATGGAAAAAAGAAAAGCAAAACGAGAATGAATCTTCACCAAGGACGTGGGAAGATACACGGCCATATTTTTTACTTGTTGTGCACGTGCCGGGTTTTGGAGAGAGAGGACCCATGCCAATAACAATTCTGACTTCGTTGATGATGGGCCTGCCTCCCCGCCACTCACTCAATTTGCGAAATGAGACGACCGTGGAAATATGCATATGCCATATTTTGCGCTTTTGGCATTCGGTGAGTGGTGCAGCGAGGCGCAATACCTCAAGGCCGCCGTAAATCCTTTACGGAATCAAGAAAACAGACCAAAGGTGCCTCGTAGCACAGGGCGTACTCACACTAGCAGTTTCCTCAATGTATCTGACCTCAATGACGTCCGCACCTGGATGCATCTGACCGCAATGCAGTCCAGAGCTGAGCCAGACATTTCTTGTAAAATTACGGCCCTCACTTCGTACACCCGATGACTCTATGAGCTGTTGAAATGCAAACCCAAGTTCAAATCCATATGCAATCAGGGCATAGTCACACTGGGACCTATTATTGATGTGCCGAATCCCCCCCAAAAAAGGGTAGAGGCCGGTCACACAGATTCGCCGAAGTCCTAAATGCACCATTGGTGTGCCCATTTGTCATAGGCAAGTGTAGCCGTGGGGCAAGGGAATTTGTGGTCACCTCTGGAGGTGACCAGAAATGCCCTATTTATTTTTTTCATTTTCTTCAAAGATTGGCAAGTTTCGTTCACAAAAGTTCTTGCTAAATTTGTGGGTGGGTCCTCCGGGACATCCGTTAAACTTGGGACGATACGGAGAAGGTTTTTTTTTTTTTTTTTTTTTTTTTTCGGGAGGCACTTGGCTTCCGAGTTCGGATGGGATCGGGCGCATTAGCCGCGGTATGACCGTACCATATACACAGAAGATTAGCATGGCCCCTGCGCAAGGATGGGTCTCGTTGCACTACTCTCCACTGTCCGAAATTTCGGATAGTTGGCGGAGAGCTGAAAAGCTCTCCGAATTCGTGGTTTGTGGTGCATCGCTGCACTAGCTATCCGCTCTCCGAGAGTCCCAGTGGTGACTGCACTAACAGACAACGTGAAATCGCTAGAGTACACGGCCCGATTTCCATTTGTCTGCCCAGACTCAAGGCACACTCTCCGAATTCGGAGCATTTTGAAGAGTCCCACCGAGGTCCATCCGAAAAACCTTCCTTGCAGGCTGGGCACTATCCGTGATGCGGATAGTGCTTCTCGAGGTTGGTCTCTGACAGCTATCCGAACATTTCCATGGGATGGAATCGGATAGTTAGTGCAGCGATGCCCAACTCTCCGAAAT